ACTTTCTCTTTATCTTTCTTCAACAAACCACATTATTTAACATAGAGACTCCTATCAAGATCTATCATGAAATTTTCTTGTCTTGCTTCTTCCATTTCTTTGTCCCATTTTTTTCTTTCAGCTTCAAACTCGACAGTAAGAATCTCAGCCTGTGAATGTACTATCTTGATAAGCTCTTCTCAAGGAATATCTCCTCCTAGATCTGGCAAAGGGACATTTTCATTTGTCCTTGTAAATCTCCAAGCCTAATAGTCGGGTGTATACATAACATCTCCAGACACAACTCTTGTTCTAAAGGTTCTTTTCCAAGCGAGAGATATATCCCGTGCTTTCTTCTTATAATGGTCTCCACAATAAGTGATTTCAGATTCCTTTAAGCCGCTTGTTACTGGAACAAATTGACGAGCTCTATATTGTCTAAGAACCATTAATGGGGCATAGCTGACTCCTCCCCATAATCCCAGCAAAAGGACATGGTCAAGATCCCCACATCTAAATAAAATATCGGTATATCCAAGCCAGGGAACACACCAAACAATATCTCAGTCTTGTAAATTACTGAAAGTTGTTATCCATTTCTTCCTTGATAACCCTTCTGGCCACTCTTTGCTCAGAAATTCTTTCAAAGGTGAGTACATCATTGAAAAACGATGGTATGATACCTTGTCTTCTTTCCAAAAGTGACTGTGAATCCATACAGTGAGCAATTGAGCACATCCTACAAATCGACCCTCTTCCAATCTTAGACAATTATTTAGGGATCAAAAAGTTTCTGCCAAAACTGTTAGTGCTGGATTTATACCCTTCTACAATGTGTCAAAGAAATCTGCAACAACACTCTCCACATGGAACAAAGTCTTTGGAAATATTACTAAACCATATATGGCAAGAGAAAATGTGTCCAATCTCTTATCTTCATCTATATGCTCGAGTATCACCTTCTTGAGACAATGCCAAGGAAAACATTCGCTTTCTCCTTTTTGTTGAATGTGTTGTACTATCGAATTTTCACCTATACCGATAATCTTTACCAGTTTATTTTTGAAGGATTGAACTTTCGGAGGTTTGGAATAAAATTTATCGACTTGGATGTTTTTGAAATTAAATAGAGTTGTATACTCCTCGATCATTGGTGTCAAATCTTGCTTGTTAAAAGTAAAATAGTTGTACGCAGGATTCCAGAATCGAGCCAGAGCCTTGAGAAATGATTCTTCCATCTTTACATAAAGGAGTTGCGCTATGTCACCATATTTCTTGTAAAACCTCTCTTTGGTAGTCGTTCTCCAACTTTCCCAAATCTCTGTCAATTCTCGTAAATCGTTCTGCTTGAGATTAACATTGACATCCGTGGATAGCTGTGATACATAACCTTCAGGCAAACTATCTCCTTTTACTTTTTGCATTTCCTCCGACCAAGCTCGTACAGCTGGATTAAGTTCTTTCTTGTTATGAAAACTTTTTTCCATTGCAATGATCGCTCTTCTAATCTGATGATTACTTGGTTAATCAACACCTTTCTTTTATTCATGATGATTATACAAAAATGCAAAAATGCCAATGCAAGCAAACAAAATAAATTAGAATTACAAACAAAAGAGGAAAAAATGAATTAGTAATAGCAAGATAATCAATAGAATTAAAAGATGCTATCTACAAATAAATATAACACCTACCCAATCATGATATCTACCTGAGCATGCTTTAAATAGATAATAATCATACCCGAACATACTTTCTACCCCAAAAATGATTATTTCAAGAAATGATCCTAACCACATGATATCTAGTTTGCATGTTTTTATTTGAAAAGAAAATTTAAAGCAAAAAGAAAGATTCTGAAATGCTTCTCCTTTGTGTTTACTTAATTTGGGTACCTACTGACGGTCAGAGGTTTGATGTGTTTATACCTAAGGTAACAGTTCTACGGTTCAATATATGCATGGTTTTGACTCTAACGGGAAAAAGGTACTCGAATTGTCCTTAATGTTGGTACCCCCTTGGGCTACCAAACCCTCAATCTTGGCCCATTACAGGCCCGTACGGATCGAGTTCAATTCGAGCGGATACATTTCCTTATGTCCATGCAGAGAAACAATTTATCTCACGTAGACATAAGGTATATGAACCCCAAAGATTACTTGCTAAAACCCCGTACGGAGAAACAGATTATCTCACGTAAGTTAAGCTTTCATCTCAACTTAAAAGGGACAAAGCTCGTAAGTGAGCTTATGGTATGCAAATGACGGTGATGTTTGTGTGGAGGAACATTCAGCCCTTTGACTCAAAAGGAAAACGAAACTACTCGACAAAACTTTGGACAAATCTGAAAACAAAAATAAAAATATTAGTAAGACAATAATAAAATGAAGCAATTAAAAACTTCAATAAAAGGATCATAAGTTAACTAAAGACTCGAACTCATAATTTCTACCAAACGACAATGTGTAAGTGACTTACAGACTGACTCTCTAAAAAATGTCCACAGCGGAGTCGCCAAGCTGTCGTAACCGTTTTTCGGCGGAACAATCGCTTAATATTTTTAAAAATAGTTACGACTTTTAATTTTGAAAAATGATGTGATTGGAATTGATTTGGAATAAATTTGGATAGAGTCGCCATCAACCTTTGGGTTAGGTAAGTCAAATACCTAAAAACGTCTTTTAAAAACAATTTTAAGAAAAAAACATTTTCTAGATAAAAACTGGTCTGCGTTTACCAAAGATTCGATTAAAACGGGTTCAGGAGTCGGTTACGCGTGGGGAAGGATTAGCATCCCCACATCACCCAAAATTGGTACTGTGTCGCTTACACGTTGTCGTAAATATGGAAATCACAAATCGAATATCAAGTTAAAATATGATTCATTTATTGAATATTAATTGGCTTCAAATTAATTAATTAATTAATTATTATATAAAATTCTTTAATTTGAAAAGAAATCTCAATATTAGTAATCCTCTGTCGAGAAAACTATTTTAGATATTTATTATTTGTAAAAGAATATTCTCTCATCTAGTTATTCGAAAATATTAAAATTGAGTAAGAACTCAATATCTGAATTTTACAGGAATTATCTAGAAACTGAAATTGTCAATACTTAAATTTAAATAAAATAAAATATCATAAAATAAAATAAAAATATCACCGTCAATTAATGGAATATTCGACAAAAATCTTAGCAAATAATAATATCAAATATTTAATGTTAACAAGGACGTCAAAACTAATTAAAATCTAAAATCCACAAAATAATATATATGATACTCAAACAATGATCAAAATGAACAAAGATCAAAATAGCCATAATCTATTAAGTAATTTAACCCTAAGCTTATTTATCTATGTTTATATAGTGACAAAAAATAAAGCCTGTTACAATTAAAATCTATAAATCCAATATTAATTTATTAACAAAACTTGAAAATTGACATACGCATAAGCAAAATTAAAATTCCAATTTAAATTAAATGATTCACATTAATATTATAAAAAACATGTGTAAGGAAGAAATGTATTCACACAAAATTAATCCAATGATAATAAAAAAAATTCCACCTAAAAAGTTGGACCCCATCACATATTTGGCTTTTTAAAACTACTTTTCCCCCTTGTTTTTGAAGCAAAACCGGCTGCTGAAGCATGGTATATGATAAGGCTTTTGTTTTCTTTTCATTTTTTATTATATAATGTATATATATTGTAACATGTGGGCTGCTACACTAGGCCTATGTAAAAGACAATACAAATGGACTCCTTTTTTTAAAAAAATATTACAAGTTTACTAAAAATGCAATTTTCCAATCTCAAACACAAGACACGTTGAAACCCTTTTTTAAACCCTGTTTGTCTTCTCTCTGCCGCCTCTCATTTTATCTCCCTGTTCTCTATTTTTTTACTTTTTAAACCTTCAAAAATCCCAAAACCGACCCCTTTCCTATGAAACTCAAAACTAAAACTTTTTACCTTCGTGATGAGATTCTTCTTCTCCGACGAGAGCTTCCAGAAATAAGGTAAACTTCTTTTTTTCCGTTTTCTTTTCTTTTTCTTCTGCGAAATTCCCCCCTTCTTTATGGTTGTCATCATCACTGGACCCTCTTGTCCCTTTCCTTTTTTTCTTACGTTTTGGTAAGATTTTGATGGGTTAGGTGAGATTTGTTGAATTTGCTGACTTTGGTGATGGTTTAGGTAGAATGTAGTTACGTGAGTCTATAACTTCCACTAACAAATTTTTTTCTTTTTAGCCTTCCATCCTGCACATAAATCCAATTAAAGATAGTGCCTACATCCTTGAATCTTGTCACTGCTAGTATGGTGCGCGTGATGCAGTCTGTTGGTGAACATGTCGTGAAACTGCTGGGGAGATTACTCGGTTCTGTATGTGGTCTGCATCAAAATATAAATTAGTTAATTAATAATAATAATAATATTTATAATATTTTTAAGCCAGGTCAAAAACGGGTATCTACAGTTACCTCTACCGTCTCATTCATCTTTGGGCGATAAGTGGTGGACTTATGATTTTTTATCTAGAACTGTTTACATACTGAATCCATCAACTTAATGTTTAAATTCAAGGCATCGTTAGTGATGATCCTTTCAGGTAACCCATACCGACAAATAATCTATTTCTTTAAGAACTTGCAGACTGTTGACTGAGTGACATTTGCATAGGAAGACGCTTCTACCCATTTGGTGAAGTAGTCTATTGGCACCAATATGAAACGATGACCATTTGAAGCTTTGGGCAAAATTTTCCCAATGAAATCCATGCCCCACATAGATAATGGCCATGAGGCAGTCATTACGTGCAACAGATAAGGAGGAGTCTGAATCTTGTCTCCATAAATCTGGCATTTGTGGTATTTTCTGGTGTAGTTCATGCAATCATTTTCCATGGTTTACCAGTAATACCCAAATCTCATTATTTGTCTGGCCATTGCATGTCCATTAGAATGAGTACCACATACTCCATCATGTACATCTTCTATGATCGGTTTAGCTTATTTGGTATCCATACACCTCAACAAAACCTGATTATGACTTTTCTTGTACAAGATCTCTCCATCAATCACATATCGTGTAGCCATTCTTCGAATAGTTCTTTTGTCATTCTCAGTTGCTTGGTTAGGGTAGTTTTGATATTTGTTGTATAACAGGATATCATAATACCAGAGATTTCCATCATCTTCCTCTTCGATGCTATAACAGTGGGTTGGATACCCATAAGCTTGCATCCCAATAGACATCATACTTGAATGTTCATTGACTTTCAAGGCTACTGCCAAAGTGACTAGAGCATCTGCCATTTGATTCTCTTCTCTGGGGAGGTAATGAAATGTCACTTCTTCAAACTCTCTGATGAGTTTCAGGACCAACTTACGGTATTCCACCAACTTGGAATCTTTAGTTTCCCATTCATTTCTAAGTTGATAAATTACCAGAGTCGAATCCCCATAGACTTTGATTGTTTTTACTTTATGCTCAATGGCAGCAATAAGACCCAGAATACATGCTTCATACTCATCCATGTTGTTTGTGAAATTGAAGTTCAACTGACTGGTGAAAGGATAGTGTTCTCACTAGGTGAGACCAAAATTGCCCCAATCTCATGTCCCAAAGAATTCAAGGCACCATCAAAATTCATATTCCAATGTTCATCAGGAAAGGAAACTGCCTCTTCACCTGAAATAACCATCAAATCTTCGTACGGGAAATCAAAGTTCAGCGATTCATATTCTTAGAAGCCCTACTTGCAATAAAATTAGCTATAGCACTACCTTTAACTGCTTTTTGGCTTACATATTGGATGTCAAACTTAGACAATAAAATCTGTCAATGAGCCATTCTCCCAGATAAAGCGGGTACACCTATTTCATAGGATCAAGTCTAGAGATCAACTAAGTAGTGTGATACAACATATACTACCTAAGCCTTTAGGTAGTCCAAACTAAAGCACAACACAACGTTTCGATCGGTGAGTATCTTGCCTCACAATTAGTGAACTTTTTGTTGAGGTAGTAGATTGCTCTCTCTTTTTTCTCAGTTTGGTCATACTTCCCTAATACTTACCCCATCGTATTCTCGAAGATTGACAAGTAAAGAATTAATGATTTGCCTAAGATTGGTGACATTAAGACCGGAGCATTAGACAAATATCTCTTTATTGTTTCAAAATCTCCTAGGCAATAATCATTCCATATCCCTAGGTTATTTTTATGAAGAATGAGAAAAATGGGATCACACTTCTCGGTTAATTATGAAATAAATCAGGGGATGTAGTTTAATCTTCCCAAGAATCCTTGAACTTATTTTTGTGTTTGTGGGGGTAGTAAATCCTGAATAGCTTTGACTTTGTCTGGATATACTTCAATCTCTTTCTTTTTACTACAAACCCTAAAAGTTTCCCTAGACATTACTCTGAAGATACTCTTGCTTCAATTGGGTTTCAGCTGGTATTTTCTTAATCATTGAAAGAGATTCCTTAGATTCTCTACGTGTTCTTCCTTCGCTTTGTCTTTAATAATCATATCATCGACATATACTTCTATTTCTTTGTGCATCATGTTGTATAACAGTGTTACCATGGCTCTTTGGTAGGTTGCCTCTGCGTTCTTTAACCCAAATGGCATTACCTTGTAGTAAAGCGTGCCCCACATGGTAACAAACTTAGTCTTTTCCATATCTTCTGGAAGTATCTTTATTTTATTGTAACCTGAAAACCCATCCATGAATGAAAATAGGGAATTTCCAGCAATGTTGTCTACCAGGGTATCTATGTGCAGCAAATGGAAATTATCTTTCGGGCTGGCCCTGTTAAGATCTTTGTAATCAACACACATACAAACTTTCCTGTCCTTCTTGGGTAATGGAACAATATTTTCCACCCTTTCTGGATACTTGACTACTTTCAAGAACCCAACATCTAATCATTTCTTTAATTCTTCTTTAATTTTCAGCAGTATTTCGGGTCTCATCCTTTTGAGCTTTTGTTGTACCGGTTTACATTCTGGTTTTATTGGTAATTTTGTACCACTGACTCAGTATCTAAACCTGACGTATCCTTATATGACCAAATGAACATGTCTTTGTATTCTTGAAATAGCTCAATCAGACCTTGTCGTCCCTTGGAAGATAGGGTGGTGCCAATCTTTATCTCTTTCTTATTTTCATCAGATCCTAGATTCAAATTTTTAATAGGCTCTTCATGAGGAGAATTTGTTTATCCTCTCTTTCCACCATTTTTAGCATTTCAGAAGGTAAGTCATATTCCTCATCATTATTATAACCCTCGACTTCCCTCTGACATTTTGGCAGCTTGAAATCTATCTTCGGGTCAGAGTCATTAACATTCATACTATTGATATCGGAGATCCTGAAATAATAACAAACGAGATTATATATATACATATACACATACATGAGAAAAATTATCCCAAATCAAAATAAAATGAAATAATAATAAATAATAAATAAAGAATGAAAAAATATGCACGGGAGAAAGTTTGCCACGTAGTGAATTGACAAGAATACATCTGTCATTAAATATTTAAAAACAAATAGATTAACCATTTACAAAAGATCAACTATTGCCCCGAGTTTTAGACAATAATGAAAGTTTTTTGTGCATTACTCAGAAAAAGTTTTGTAAACTATAAGTAATTCTTCTGCAGTCCAATTATTTAGCACGAAGCCCGACGGTGCAGGATAAATGCACGTAACTCTTCCTTCTTCCATCTCATCCTCGAATATCACATTTATGCCCAAATCCCTAAAGGCATTCACAACAACTGGCTCTTGAGATGACTGGTCTCCCTGAAACATATGGTCCCCGGATACAAAGGTGTCACATAGTGGCGGAAAAGTAAAAAGCTCCCACTTAATATCCTCCATGGATAGCCTGACCTTCCTCATCTCATGGATCTTCTAAATACCTCTCAGCTTTTTCTTTAAGATCGAGTGGTATCCAAGGCCAAAGCGGTTCCTCTTGATGACGGGACAAACTGGATTGACGGATCCCTATATGTGGCTACCTAGCTCTTTCCCGACCTTAGTTCCTCTTCCTAAAGTCAACTTTATTCGGGTACAGTTGAACAACCTGGGCTTAGATATTCTTCTCCCTTCAGCCATGAATGTGGCATTGACGAATTCCAAGGATCTGAAGTAGCATTCGACAACATCTTTATCTACTTCCACGTAAGGAGAAATTGTGGAAACATAAGTGATAATATCCTCTTTAGAATTGATACATATTAGCCTCCCTTCGATCACAAACTTGTTTCTGATGCAGTGTGGATGACACTGCCCCCGCCTAGTGAATCCACGACCTTTCTAATAGGCATTTGTAGGTCAGCATGATATCCATGACAAGGAATTTGACCTCGTAAGTTGATGGGCCTATGGTCAAAGGGATATCAATCTTCCTAATCACCTCTCTCTTTATTCCAACGAACGCTCAGACGATACTTTGACAGTTTCTCATATGTGTATTATCGACCGACAACTTTTTCAAGGTTATCAATGGCATTACATTTATTGTCGAGCCATTGTTGATTAGCACCAGGGATAACATGTGGCCCCTTACACCTGATGGTAATGTGTAGGGCCTTGGGATTGCCAACCATCCCACACGAGATTTCGTCATCGGAGAAAGAGATAAATTATCGGCTTGGATATTCATAACTAGTCGGTCTATATTTTCCACTAGCATATCCTTTGGTACGAAAGTCTGATTTAATACTTTCAACAAGGTATTTTGGCGTGCCTCAAAGCTTAACATAAGAGCCAGAATCGAGATCCGAGTTGACAGGTTATGCAGCTGCTCCACGATGTTGTACTCACTATGCTTTAAAAATTTCAAGAACTCTACAACCTCATTTTTTTCTTACAAGCTCATTAATGATATGCTCATCATTCTTCAACAATATCTAGACCCTATTTCCTTTAGCAATAGCTCTTTTATCAGGTTCATTGGTCTGATTAGGAGAATAACATCTCCTACTTCTGGTGAAATGGCCTACCTTATCCAATTCTCCTTTGGCGACCTCTGAAGCACCAACGTTATCCAACTGGCACTCATATCTCCAGGGAACCCTGTTTATTATCCTTATAAGGGAAAGAATACGGGGGTGTAATCATTACTTTAGGGGTGAATCTCTCTGCCACACAAGTTTTTGGTGTGATGACCAAAGGGCATTTGGCATTGTAGACTCCTTTGGATGAACCTTCGGAAACAAAAATCTCTGATTCCTTCTCCTCAGTAATTTCTAAGTAAAATTCTATTTCCTTGTTATCCATCAGCCTTTACACCAAGGCATGGAACTCAGCACAATCATGTCTGGTATGATCCACACAGTTGTGGTATGGGCATGCATTCTTACTCCTATCAACTACGTTTGAGACTAGTAAGCCTGCCTTGATTATCTTCTTCCATACCCCATGCATGAGTGACTTTACCTCATTCACCTTAGTTATAATCTTTTTTCCTTTCACGTCGATAATTGCATTAACACCTGCCCCATCATTATTCGATAGTGGGTTCTGAGCCATATTGGGTTGTTTACTATCACCAAAGTTGATGACATTCCTCGTCATTAATCTTTGAACGATCTTTTTGAAAGTAATACAATTTTCTATTGAATGCCCTGAAGATCTTGCGTGATATTCACATTGGACATTGGCGTCATACCACTTAGAGTAGGGAGGTTGCATCAATGAAGTGTGGTAAAGCGACACCATATGCTTATCATATAAGATCTGAAATAATTTTTTGTAGGTCATGGGGATCAGGGGTCAAATTGAAGCCTTTCCCTTTCTTTTCTCAGTTCTCTTGTCCCTTGTCTGGTAGGGTTCTGTGCAGATGACCCGGTGGCTTAAGGTTGGGATATAATAATGTTGTTGGATTCATACTTCTGCCCATTATTAACCTCATTATCTTTCTTTTCGCTGGCGATTTCCTACTAGATTCTCCTCCGTCAAGCTTCCCACTCTTGATTGCCATCTCAATCATCTCTCCTACCGTGACTACATCAACAAAACTCTTGGATGAATTTCCTATTAGGTGGCCAAAGAATAGGGCTTTCAGAGTGTTCACAAAGAGCATGTTAGTTTTTTTTCCTTAAGCGATAGATGAAGTTGTACAACCACATTCCTCCACCTTTGAGCATATTACCTAAAGCTTTCGTTATACCTTTTCTCCATGCTCTGCGATCCGATTAGGCCTTACGTTTTTTACATGCTTATAGTTCTTTGGAAAAACTTTAGCCAAGTCATTCCAAGATTTAATTTGAGCCCTGCTCAACTGATTGTACCACCGGATGGCTAATCCTGTCAGGCTCTCTTAAAAGCAGTGAATTAATAGTTGATAATCCTCTATATAACTAGTTATTTTTCTACATAACATCGTAATATGTGCAAAAGGGCATCTTGTGCCATCGGATTTTTCAAACTCTGGAATTTTGAATTTGGGAGGTAACACTAGATCCGAAACCAGACTCAATTCTTTAGCATCAATCCCATACATATTATTGTC